TCTAGTCAAGTCTTTTGCACCTTTATTGGGTTGTCCATGTTTTCCTTATTGATTTGTAGAATTTCTTTGTGTTCTGGATATGACTCCTTTGTTGGTTCATTAGTTACAATACCTTCTCTGATTCTGTGGTTCTTATTTTCACTCTCTTATCTTGAATTTTTTTTTAAATACTGGTCTTAAGTTTAATGTAGTCCAATTTATTAAATTTTTCCTATGTGGCTGCCTTAAGAAATTTTTCCCTATTACAAGTTAATAAAGATATCTTCTTATATTCTAAAAGGGTTAGAAAAGAAATACCACCTTCACAATAGTGAGTTTCCAAGTCTATGAACATAGCTGATCTTTCCACTCACTTACTCAGGTTTTCTTTATATTCCTTCAAAGTGTTCAGTGTAGGGTTCTCACACATGCTTATTAAATTTATTACAAGGTATTGAGGGTTTTTTAATGGTACCAAAAATGATATATGTTTTAAACTTCATTTTCTGTTTGTTGTTATAAGAATTAGATTTTTATATAGAGACGTTTTATCCAGCAACTCTATTAACCCACTTACAAATTCTAATTGTTTATTATAGAATCATTTGGATTCTCTTCACACAAAAATCAGTCAGCAGCAAATAATGACAGTTTATTTGTTCCCTTTCAATTCTGGTATTTTCCTTTTTCTCATCTTAATGTACCGGCCAGGACTTCTCACACAAAACTGAATAGAAGTGGTGATCGTAGGCATTCTTTTTCTGTTTCTGATCCCAGAGTAAAAGCTATCAGCATTCACCATTAAATATGTTTGCTAGGTTTTTTTTTTTTTTTTTTTGATTACATTGAGGAAATTCCTTTTATTCCTTTTATTCTTAGTTTACTAAGTTTTTAATTATGAATTGAAGTCAAATTTCATCAAAGGCCTTTTCTGCATCTGCTAAGGTAATTATATGACTTTATCTTTTATTTGATAAATCTGGTGAAATACAGTGATTCTCTTTTTAATTTTAAACCAAAGTTGCATTCCTGGGATAAATGCGATTTATCATGATATGGTTAACATTTTCACATATCACTAGGGTCAGTTAGTTATTGTTTGAGGAGAGATTGTGTGTACTGCAAAATTTATTATTTATTATAAGCGTAATTGGCCTATAAATTTTTTTCACTAATGTTTTCAGTTTTGGTATCAGAGTTTTAATGATAACATGTTTCAAAATTAACATGTTTCCTATTTATAATATTTGGCATAGTTTATTAGGCATGGTGCTATTTCTTAAGGCTTGGTAAAATTCACTGGTGAAGCCATTTGGGCTTGCATTTTACTGGGTACCTAGGCTTTTAATAACAAATTCAGTTTCTCTGATAGTTACCAACTATCAGAGAAATTTTATATTCTTGTATCAGTTTTAATGTTTGAAATGTTATATTCTTGTATCAGTTGTAATGTTTTATTTATCTTAGAAGTTTCCCATTTTATCAAAATTTTCTAATTCTTTAGCTAAAGTTCTTCCACAAGGCCAATATTTATTTAGATATACCTCCATATTTACAATTTTTGTTGTTTTTTAACTGCTTTCTTCATCTCTGAGCTTCAATCTGAGATCATTTTTGCCTGAAAAAAATGGTCTTTGGCATTTATTTTAATATGGGTGTGCTCTGGATATATTCAGTTTCTGATTGTCTGAAAAATGTCTTTTTTTCATCTTCATTATCAAAAGCTGTTTTATCTGAGTATAGACTTCTAGGTTGGCTCCTAATTTCTTTCAGAATTTTTACCTTATCTTTCCATTGTCTAGCTTCCATGTTTTTCTATTGAGAAGTAGTAACTTCTTAATTTGTTGTTACAATGAAAGTAATATTTTTACCCTATATTTTAGATGTTATTTGCCTTTAGTTTTTAGAGGTTTTACCCTGAGATGTCTCAGTGTGTGTATTTTTAGCCTGGTCGAGGTTCATAGTTTTTGCTTTATTTTGTTTTATAAACTTGTAGCATGATGTAATCTGTCAGTTTTGGAAGACTGGCCATCATTTCCTCAATAAGAATTCTCCTGGGGCGCCTGGGTGGCTCAGTCGGTTAAGTGTTCAACTCTTGATTTTAACTCAGGTCGCCCTGGGCATGGAGCCTGCTTGGGATTCTCTCTCTCCCTCTGCCCCTCCCCCCACCTCTCTCTCTCTCTCTCTCTCTCTCTCTCTCTCTCTTTCAAAAAAAAATTCTCCTTCATATTCCCCATGAAACATGTAAAACATACTTTTTTACATAGGAAGAACAATATTTGTTGATCAAATGGAATCCCAATTGATTTACCTGTTTGTGGTATGTCCATCTTCCAACCCCTTCTATTACTATTTTTAAATTAATTTTCATGAGTCTCAGCTCAAAACATTTCACTCATCTATTTTCAGTCATCAGTAGTTATTTTCTTTTCTATAGAAAAAAATATGTTCAACTCTAGGTTGAAACTTAAACCACTGATGATCTTGCCCAGTGTATGTTTCCAATTTCTCCTCCAATATTTGCCTTCTTGTGCCCTGCAAGCCACTTTGAATAAACTCCTTGCCTCTTCCTATGCCTGCTTCACATATCTGAGTATGAATGTCTACCCTAATTCTGTTGTTCTATCTTAAATGCCCTTCCCCACATCTCCAGGGAAAGAAAGGTGTGCACAGGCTAAGACCCTAGGCTTCAGTTTCTGACAAGCGTAGATTTGAATTCCAGATCCAGCATTTTTACCAGCCAGGTTCTCTTGGCCTCACTAAGCTTTGGTTTCTTCATTAATGGAATAATGTTATTCATGGGGATAATAATAATAGACCCCTCCTAGAGGGTCAAGTGATGACTAAAGGAGATAATCTACACAAAGTGGTTAGTACAGGGAACAGGAATATTTTATATCATTGGTAGTATTTTTACTATAAAATACCAAGGGTAGGAGCGACTGCTCTTTGCCCACCTCTACATCCATTCTGCTCTGTAACCCAGAGGTCAGAGACCTGCTGCTGCTGCCACGGATACCATTACAACTGTTTCTCACAGCCAAAAATCTAGTCACTGGACCCTGGACAACCTGAGTCCAGGCATTTTGAAATAGTAGAAACCACTCACATATCTCAGACACAGTCTGCCAGCATCAACAGCGGCAGGAACACATCCTCCATACCCTCCCATCTTCCAGTTTACACACATGGTTTGAGTTAGCAGAGCCAAATTTGCCTCCCAGACACCAGCTGAAGAGGGGCCAGGAAATATTTTTAGCTTCCTGACCTCTCCAGCGAGGAGGGTAAAGCCAAGGTTGAGAGAGCCAACCTATAACATCTACCGCATGATTCATTCCAACTCCACCTTCTCCAACTTGTTCCTGGATTTTTCCTAACTAAAAGTCATCATTCTTCTGCCTCCTCTACATTGGTGGTTTTCACCACCATTGGACAAACCTCATTGGACATTAGAGCCACCTCGGACCTGAAAAATACTTATTCTTGTTCTTTGCCTCCAGAAATTCTGATTTAATTGGTGTGGAGTAGGGGTGCACTTTGGAAATTTTTAAACTCTAATGTATCCTCTGTGTTTAGAACTGCTGCTCTAAATTCTTACAATCTTTCATTTCCCCTCATCACTTCCTAACTTTTGTTTAGTTATTTATAAAATGTCCTTACTCTTCCTACTCAATTATAAGTTCTCTGAGGGTAGGATTGGAATCTACTCTCTTTTATGTCCTTCATAACTTCTGGCAGATTACTTTGCAAAAAAAAAAAAAACCTTAAATGTTGATTGACTGCATGAATAAATGAATGATGGATGATGCCTTGCAAACAAAAGCATATTAAAGATACAGGGCATCAAATCCCTGCCTCCCTCCTGCTTGACATAGTCTCAAGTACATTTCTTGTGAATCTATTAATTCTGCTCAGCAGAGTAAAAATATAAGTGGATATATTGCTCACAGCATTAGCCTTCTAATCAATAATTCACCATAAAATATAACTTGACACAAAATTATTCCTGGTTTAAAAAATAACATCTAAGAAATGGCATTCTCAGGTATAGAAACTATTGCCAATGAACTCACACCTTTCTAAGTAGAATCTAAAATAAAGGAGGAACTGGACAATGAAAGTCAAGTCTGGTCATGACACCGGATTTCTGAGGTATTTATTTGTTTTTAGATATGTCAGTTCTTTGATATGTCAGTGTATCTCTAAATCGATCTTCTAAAACCCCAGTAGGCAATGATAAAAATTCTGTACTCAAACTATTGTATAATTGCAGAATGACTTCGAAAGAAATTTGACTAGAATATATCTAATTGATACATATAATCCCTTTGAAAGAAGTCTGCCAAGAACTTGATATTGATACTAGCATTTCCTGAGTTCATACCTAAAAAAATGAAATGCTATCCAGTTGGGTTACATTGTTAATATTAAGATTTCTTATGGTTCATAATTATAGATCCGCTTTTTATTTATTTATTTTTTTTTTTACTTTTTTTTAAAGATTTTATTTATTTATTTATTTGACAGAGAAAGACACAGCGAGAGAGGGAACACAAACGGGGAGTGGGAGAGGGAGAAGCAGACTCCCCGCCGAGCAGGGAGTCCGATGTGGGACTCGATCCCGGGACTCCAGGATCATGACCTGAGCCGAAGGCAGTCGCTTAACCAACTGAGCCACCCAGGCGCCCTAGATCCGCTTTTTAGATCTTTGAAAGAAAAGGATTTAAAATCTTTGAAAGAGGGGCGCCTGGGTGGCTCAGTTGTTAGGCGTCTGCCTTCGGCTCAGGTCATGATCCCAGGGTCCTCGGATCGAGCCCCACATCGGGCTCCTTGCTCAGCGGGAATCCTGCTTCTCCCTCTCCCACTCCCCCTGCTTGTATTCCTGCTCTCGCTATCTCTCTCTCTGTCAAATAAATAAATAAAATCTTTAAAAAAAAAAAAATCTTTGAAAGAGAAATTTTTCCTGGTATCTTTGCCAAATTAGCTCTCAGATGGGGGTTCCTGAGATAAGAATCACAGGGTCCTATCTTCTTTCGTACAGCTTTCTTTGTTAGGAAGTGATTAAGAGCAAACCATTGGATCTGCTCTCCTGGACACAGAATTATTCCCTGAGTATTTAAAAATATTAATGTTAGGGATAAAGAAGAGGAAAAAGGGCAGAATGATGTTTAGAAAAGAATAAGGTTAGGTAAAAAGTGATTTGATTAGAGAAATTCTTTCGCTTCTCTTGCCTGCCCCCACCACATTTAGAACTGCTTGTATTAAGAGTTCAAATAGCTTTAAGAAGCTTTAGTTTCAAGGTCTTCTTTAATCCTGAATGTACCCAAATTTGTTTCCCAAGACTCACCATTTCCCAACTTCAGAAGAGATCCTGCGCCATTCTCCCATTTGTCTTTTCCCCTTCCTTTCCTGCCAAATCAGGATTGATCCTCCCTCCCTCACTTCTTTCCTTCCTTCCTGAGTTCCCACGGCTTACCTTCCTTAAAGTCTTCCCAGGAAGGTCTCCTGATACTGTAGCTCCTCACCCTCTTTTCTATTAGTTCCCTAAGGATTCCATGGTTCCAGTAGAATATGTATCACGTATATGGTTATAACACCTCTATTTGGATGGGTTCACATATCCACAGGTAAATGAGAGACTTCATGAAAATGAGGGCTGAATTTCTGAGTGTATTTTCCCCAACCAAGAATAAGAAGGTGAACATTTAGTTTGTTCTCTTAGCTCAAATTATGTTCACTATTACCAAGGTAAGAGTTAAACTAAGAGAATCCAGACTTCTGGAGGGCAGGGAGTTCAAATATTACAGACTAGATACCTAGACTAAAGGCCTTGTCTCACTGTATAGTTCTATAAAATGCAAAATCACAAGGTTTTGAGATGTTGAAATGACTGTTCCCACCCAACCCAACTGTCCAATGCTGCTTTAAGAAAAAAAAAAAGAAAAACAAAATAAGAAGTAACTTTCCTCAAAAAAAAATAATAAAATATGGTCCATTTTGTTAAGAATTTTCTATGGAGCAAGGCCTATTATGTGGCTAGGATGGGGATACTTATCTAGACAAGTATTTATATTTATTGATTACATATTTTGATATCAATATGTATATATTTATAAAATAAATAAGATATAGGTCTTGCAATGTTGTGTTTAAAGTGCTGAAACACTACCAGTTTTGTAATCCCCTCAGTTGCTTCTTCGTTTTATAAGATACTAAAAGCCTCACCAAATGGAAGTAGACTGGGAGTTCCCTTGCTCCATGATGCTATTATGTACAGCTAACTCCAAGTAAGTACTAATAATGAAGATGGCATTTTCCATACTAAGTGATGAAAGTTAAAGGTATATAAACCTGATTTCACTATTAAGAGATAAACACATGATCACCGTAAATGTGAATAAAACTCACATTTTAAAATCTTTCAAGGGAATCAGATCTATTTTCCTCCTGTTTCTAAGCCCTCAGTAACTCTTTGAGTGTGTTTGTATTCACTTGGAGGGGACATTTCTGTGGAATTAATCAAATAGGGAATTCAATGTTCCTTGCAGATAATTTTGGCATGTTCCATTGGGAACTTTCTAGTATGAATTTTCATCTTTCCTGGGAAAAAAACCCACATGTTCTAAATCCTGTCTTTTCTCTGTTAGTGAAGAACAATATAGCAAAGCTGTTATGTACAGAATTAATGACAATATATATTCAGCAAGACAGTCTGCTGGACACCTCATCATTAAAATAAAAGAAGGCAAAAATGTATGAGAATACAATTTGAATGTACTAAATAAAAACTAGCATTAAAAATGCTGTGAAAGGGGCGCCTGGGTGGCTCAGATGTAACGTTAAGCATCTGCCTTCAGCTCAGGTCATGATCCTGGGATCGAGCCCCGCATCGGGCTTCCTGCTCAGCGGGCAGCCTGCTTCTCTCTGCCTCTCTCCCTGCTCATGCTCTCTCTCTCTTTCTGTATCTCTGTGTCTCAAATGAATAAATAAATAAAAAATCTTTAAAAAAAATAAAAAAATAAAAATGCTGTGAAAAGCGTCACAATAACTGATTTTCTGATTTTGCTACAATTTAAAAAAAATTTCCAAGGTAGAGAATTAGAAAATATTCAAAGCTCCTAATATATTCCAGTAAATCCAAAGATAACAAATCTCATTTTCCAAGAAAAGCAGTGATGGTGTTTTTGGTGACAATGAAAAACTCATGTTCAATGCCTAATTAGACCTTTTGAAATCCGTATGTTCTGTTCTTTACTGGTTTCCTTATTCTTGCCTTGGCTCTATGTTTCGTATCAGTTTTTCATTCAGCAAATGCTGCTAGTCACCATTCTATATACATCTTAGTTTAGTCCTAAAACCTGGAGAAGCTTAGAGTTCTTTTCTACCACTGATGGTTTCCCCTGATTCTACATCTGGGCAACTGTTCAACAGCAACCAGAAAGACCTAGCCCTTGGACTAAGTCCTACCTGCTAAGGAGTTGTATTTGGCCAGGTTAGTATGGGCCATCCAGAAGGAGATGCCCAGGAGGCAAGTGTAGCTTTAGCTACAGATTTGGGAGTCAACAGCATATTTGGGGAGGTTCAAGCTACAAGGAAGGAGGATGTCCCAACGGAGAGTACGTAGTACAGGAAGATGTGAGGACTAATGTGCAGAACCCTCCTTAGGTGCCCAATAAAGATTTGAGAAATAAAAGAATGGCCTAGAAAATGACAGTGTACTTGATTATTAACTTCCATTTCAGACTGTTGTGATTTTCAAGGAACTCTGCCTCCAGAACTCTCCAGCAAGTTAGGAAGTGATGACAGTTAGTGAAAGACCTATCAACAGTTCATATTTATATCCTTGAGGTGAAACCGTCCTCTTTCAACACATATCACGTTTTCATTGAAGTTCACGTTAGTGAATGATGAATACAAGATGTTTTTCACAATCTGGCTGCGGGCTTACTGCATTTTGTTAGCAAAACACACAGGAACTGCCAAAATGGGAGAGTAGCCTTTCCTAAATCACTCCAAATGTCACCATGACTACAGCATATTTTCCTAAATTGGTGTTTTGTTTTTTTGCTTAAGATATAAATTCATTCAAGTGTTTGGCTCCTAGTAATGCTTTATAATTTATCTTATAAAAATTTGCTTTCATGTACATGAAGCATTTTCTTATTCACAGGACTGAACCAAAATGACAGCTGCTCAATTTGATTGTCAATACTGCACAGCATCACTTCTTGGGAAGAAGTATGTACTAAAGAATGACAATCCATATTGTGTTTCATGTTACGATCGTATCTTTTCTAACTATTGTGAAGAGTGCAAAGAACCAATCGAATCAGATTCCAAGGTAGGTTTTCAATTTACAGAATGATTGCATGCAAACAAGCAGAGAAATGCTTCGGAATGCCTCATTTCCTTCGGTATTGACTGTTAATACTGTATTGCTATATTCCTGGATATAAGCATCTTCAAAGTTACCATCAGTGACCAGGTACTGTGCTTAGCACTATGAACCAAAACATCTACTTTAATCCTCACAGTGATCTTAGAAGATAATTTAAGATGCTAAAGATTAAAGAGGTTACGTTATTTGCCCAGAGTTACACAGCTAAAATGCTGGTTTATTTCTGGAATGACAAGAGTATAAATGAATAAATACATAAATCATTAGAAGTGTAGAGATTTCAAAAATCTGTATTTTCTTTTTTTTTTTTAAGATTTTATTTATTAATTTGAGACAGAGAGAATGAGAGAGAGAGAGCATGAGGGGGGGAGGGTCAGAGGGAGAAGCAGACTCCCTGCCGAGCAGGGAGCCCGATGCGGGACTCGATTCTGGGACTCCAGGATCATGACCTGAGCCGAAGGCAGTCGCTCAACCAACTGAGCCACCCAGGCGCCCTCAAAAATCTGTATTTTCTGACTTCAAATCAGGCTCATCCCCCCTAAGTCCACTGGGCCCTCACACAGCCCATTCCTCCCACAATGCACATTATTGTTTTTCTCTTTTTCTTTTTCTTTTTTGTCTTTGTTTTGTGGTGTTGAGATTTTGTTTAATCTCAAACAATAATAGGATATTACAACTTAAAATAAAAATCATTCCATGAAAAACCCCTCTTATAGTTGATAAAAGGAAGAGGAAATCTGAAGAAATAAGAAAGAGTTTATTTTCCATCTGTCTTTAGTGACCAACTAAGAAAGCCTCAGGCTCTAGCTCTTAATTGCCCCAGGGAGGCTCCTCTCCATGGGTAATAGTATCAATGACAACTTTCCCTCAAGCTACCAGCACAAACTACTGACACCAGAGTCCCAAGAGTGTTCAGTTTTGTCTTATCAAATGACCTGTTCTGTTACTAGCACATTTAATTAACTCATATTTACTGTCTCGAAGGATCTTTGTTACAAAGGCCGACACTGGCATGAAGCATGCTTCAATTGCGCCAAATGCAATCACTCTTTGGTGGAAAAGCCTTTTGCTGCCAAGGATGAACGCCTGCTGTGCTCGGAGTGCTATTCTAACGAGTGCTCCTCCAAGTGCTTCCACTGCAAGAAGACCATCATGCCTGGTAAGATCCCAAGGGAGCTCCGGTCTCTCACTGAAGCTGCAACACTCTGAATTACGCCCAAGCATAGGAAGAGTATAGTAGCTAAGAAAGCCCTCCTTTGGAGAAAGACATCTACCTTGCTATCTCTTGATTTCATTTTGTGTCTTTTTAGAAATAAAAGGATTATTCTTTCTGCGTAATTATTCTGTATGGGTAAATTACAGTGTTCGACGTATTTTCATGAAGTTAATTAATTCATAGAGACATTTTCAACCACTATCTGAGCCATAGAATAAAGATAAAATCTAAACTAGTAACACTAACGCTGCATTAAACACCCTGTCCTAGGCATAAACAATGGCATCCAGAAGCATAACCCATCATAGGAGAATGGGGCCAACCATCATTTTGTAGCAGGACAAAAAATGGTTTGGGGGTCCCTCATCTTTATTCCTTTTAGGCAAGTCAAGGATTCATGTACATCATTATAGTTTCAGGCAAGCACTTTCTCTGTTTTGATTCTCTTCTAAATCCCTATGGACAGCAGCATAAAACACGATTCTCTCTCATTTCCTTATTATGAATTCAGAGAGTTTCTAGGAGACCATAACTGCACAACATCAATCTCAAGAGTTTGTGCCTCGGGCATTCCTAATATCCCAGTACTGATAATTATGGCCCAATCTATCTAAACCACATGCAGCCCTTTAGAGTCTCCATTAGTTGTACTTTCAAATCTCAAAATTGTAGCTTACACAGCACAAGAGTTTTCAGTAAAAGAGTGACTCACCTTCATCATGAACTCTACCTTCTTTTTTTTCAGATAAATGTTTTAGAAGGCAACAAAACACTTTTTCTATAAGGACAGTTAAGTTTATCATCTTATTGTTAAAATATATATATTTTGAGTAATTTGACATATCTTTACTTAAAATAAGTAAAATGATGTTTCATTTGTACTAACAGGTTCTTATTTGGGGTGGGGGGGACAGGTTCCCGCAAAATGGAATTTAAGGGAAACTACTGGCATGAAACCTGTTTTGTGTGTGACCATTGCCGACAGCCAATAGGAACTAAGCCTTTGATTTCCAAAGAGAGTGGCAATTACTGTGTGCCATGTTTTGAGAAGGAGTTTGCTCACTACTGCAGCTTTTGTAAGAAGGTAATTATCTAAAGAGGATGAAGCTTGTGGAACCTTCCAGACCACTGCTTTTTAACATCCCTAGATATTTGGAATGCACTGATCCTATCACATTCTGTCTTTGCATGCGCATGTTAGTTTTGAATTCTGGCATGTCCAGAAGCACACTACCCGTCCATCACAATGAAGATGGCCACCTATTTTTATCATCATAAATTTCCCCCAGGACACGAATGTAAGATTCCAAAAGCTCAAGATAGTCCAGTTCCATTCACTGCTACCACACAAGATTTCCTGTATTCTGGCAGAGGGCACACATCGTTTGTGGAATACAAGATATTTCTTAGAAAATAGTTCTGGATCCATTTCGTTTCAGAGAAATATGATTTGTCTCACAAAGTCGCTGACAGAACCAATTTAAACAGGATGTTTAACTTCTCACATTATGTCCCAGCAACACAAATGTCTTCTTGGCTTAAAGCTTTAATATTTCTAAAGAGTAAGTAAGTAGTCTCAAGAGAGTGACAAGATCACTAGGGAAATTCACTAGACAGAAAGACAGAAAGAGGACGAAGGGCAGCATGTGGTTCGCTTCCAGTTCCAGAGCATCATATAAGGCTTTCTGACTCGGAGACCCCTTCAAAACATATCTTCCAATAAGAACGAAGTCCTGCCTTCAAGTAAACTTTGTCCATCTCTTTTTTAGCCTTTAAGCTTTTATATGAAAGAGCCACTCATCTCTATCACCTTGATAAAACCTCTGTATTTCATAAAATATATATCGATGTACTTGGAGAAATCCTTGACCCATGAGGCATCATAAAGTTTAAAATAACACTATAAATTGTGATGGGAAAGCAGTGGTGTCTAAACATTTTTGATCTATGAGATGCTCTGGCAGATCTCAGGACCATTTGTATAATTGCATCTGGACAGCTAGAAGTCTCACTACCACTTTCTATGGGAGCACATGAGCACGGTAATTTTCTACATGTATTTAAAATACAAGGACTGCATTTGCAGAGGAAACAATAAATTCCTAAATCATAATCATTAGATTACACTATAATGATGGCTGAAATTACAATTGATAGTAACATGATATAAAACCATCCTACACCCAGAGACTCTCATTACTCTACCAGTAACACTGACTTAGACAATGACTTTATAAGCAACTCTCAGATCCTATGACCCTGCAATATATGAAGCTCAGAAGATTTACCAGAATTGATGACCTGCATTTTTTTTTTTTTTTACTATATTCTTTTTTGAGAGAGAGAGAGCACGCACAAGGGGGGTAGGTAGAGGCAGAGGGAGAGGGAGAGAGAGAATCTTAAGCAGACTCAATCCCATGACCTGAGCTGAAATCAAGAGTTGGATGCTCAACCGACTGAGCCACCCAGGTGCCCTGAAGACATGCATTTTAGAAACAGATGTTGGAAATAAAATGATAGATTTATCTCACTGTTTTATGGGACAACTAAGTTGTCCATGTTCATGTTATATTTTTTAAAGACTTAAGCTAAAACATTAATGAGACTTGGGGGAATTATCTTAAAATCATTTATTGGGCCTACAATATAAAGTTTCTTTCAATGCTATAAAGATTCAAGACGGGGAATTTCTCTAGTATACCCAGGCTACGCACCATTTGAGGCCAAAGCACTGGCATTTCCCAAGTTATAGGAGCCTGTTCTATATTTAGGACATGACTTGAAGTCACCAAAACTTTGTGAAATATTTATGTTGGGTAGTAGACAGATCACGACATGCCAGATTATTTTCTATTTAACTTTTAAAACCACAAGTCATTTAAGGAAAGCTGGATATAAATGTTTCTGATCGAGATGATCCAAGCTGAAGAAAAACAATGTTTCAACTCAAACCAAAGACCAAATAAAACAAACAAAATAGGCAAAAAATACTGGACAACCAGGCCCTTAGAACTTTTTTCATAGATTTTATTTTGTGAAACTAAAACTTATTTTCTGGGATGCCTGGGTGGCTCAGTTGGTTAAGGGTCCGGCTCTTGATTTTGGCTCAGGTCATGAACTCAGGGTCCTGGGATGGAGCCCCACATTGGGCTCCTTGCTGGGCGTGGCGCCTGCTTGGGATTCTCTCTTCCACCCTCTCCCTCCACTGTCCCCACTCTCTCTCTCCCTCCCTCTCTCTAAAAAAATAAAATAAAATAAAAATAAATTAATAAATAAATAAAAGCTATTTTCTACCAAAAACAAGGAACCTCAAACTCCAAGTGCTTTGAATCCAAACTCCTCGAGGTTCAAATAGAGTATTCTCTGATTCATCGGCTATGGTCTACGAAGCACAAAACCAATACTGCTTCCACTTTGCCAGAGAAGAAATTTGTTCCAAATCCTGGGATAAATCAATGGCAAAAACCACACCTGGATATTCGACTTCATCTCAGCCTGTCTGCCTCCTCAAAAGGAACATAATCATAAGCAAACTATTTTTAATGTTCCAGAGTTTCTTCTCCCTAATTAAACAGTCTCTGGAATACTTATCAAGTTTTCTTTTGCTGTGAATACATTTTTCAAGTTTGGAATCTTTTAAGCATTGCCTGCTAATAATTTGACCAAACAAATCAAAGGAATCTTGAATTCTGCTGTCCCTGTGGTGAGCCATTTGAAATCAGTAGGGGGTATTTTAAATTGCTTTAGTTCACACACACCATTATGTTTCCCATTTACTTATTTAGACTAGTATACATCTTTTCCTTTAGGTAAAATAACTGTTCTATCAAATATCTTTAATTTTTAAGATATTTGTTGTAAGATTCAAAAATATCTTTAGAATCATCTTTTCAACAGCATGTATCATAGATAACATTTTTTTTAACTTTTCATCAATAAGATGGCTTAGAAGAGGCTCTACATTTTCTATATCCAGTTAATTTGAATACAAAGATTACAGCACTCGCCTCAGAGAGCACATGAACACATTCCAGATTCCACAGCTACTCCAAGAGCTCAACAGCCATGGGTTCAAAAGACGCTATGACTTAAAAATTGCTACCCAAGAACAGGTGTCCAATATTTACCCATTTGATTCTAAATAAAGATGTCTCAGCCTTTTAAAAAGTACAACCCATGGATTAAACCGGTTTAGAAAAATATATATATGTTATGGAGGAATAATAATCATCTCTGACAAAACCCTCGCACATCACACATTAAGGTTCAACATATAAGCTGTGCTCATCATTACTTAGAGTTCTAAAGCTGAAAACCCATGCAGTCGGCAAAGCACCCCATTTGTGCTAGATACAATACCAGAATTGCTGTCCAAATGTTTTTCCCCTTGGTGTTTGTTCATTCATTTGACAAGGACTTATCAACTGTTCATGAGCAAAAAGTAACCTTGCCTCAGTATTGTTTTACTGGCTAAGCACACAAGCTCAGGAGTCAGACTGTGTAGGTTTGCATACTAGTTCTGCGTGACCTGGCGAGGGACCTGACCACTCTAATACTCAGTAGTTTCTCATCTCTTAAAGGGGGCAAGATAATAGTCTTGGCTGTGTCGGATGTTAAGAACAAAAGAAGTGGTCATCCCTTAGCACAGGGCTGAAGACTGAAAGCTCACTTCAGAAATATTAGTCATGATTAGTGGATGATGGTCCTTAACAATGCCATTCAGCATTGCTACTGCTGGAATAAAGCTTTCAGGGGAAAGTAGTTTTTTTCAGCATCCTTAAAAGTTAGACATGGAAATAAGAACCTGGTGTAGAAAATACCTTAGTTCTGATGGCAGATCTTTGAAGCCCAACAAGAAAGAGAAAGATGAGAAAAGGAATCAAGGATCTACTTCTTTTTCATTTTCCTGAGTCCATGATGGCCCTGCTTCTTCTCTATTCCACTGTAAGAGAAAAATTAGGATATGTCTTGCCAGTTCTATTTAATCCTTATAACCTTTTGCTTCTCATATTGATTCAAAAAAATCACAGGGAAAGGACATCCTGACACAAGGTAATAGAGTAGCCAAAACTACCACTTGTGGACACAGAAGAGGATCGTGACAGGTCCGAATTGTACTAGCTTCTATGGTCACTGCCTTTTTGTGATCCTTTGGCAGGTGATAACTTCAGGTGGGATAACGTTTCATGACCAACCATGGCATAAAGAGTGTTTTCTGTGCAGTGGCTGTAGGAAAGAGCTCTGCGAAGAAGAGTTTATGTCCAGAGATGATTATCCATTCTGTTTGGACTGCTACAACCATCTTTATGCCAAAAAGTGTGCAGCCTGCACCAAACCCATTACTGGTGAGTTCTTCAGTTTAGTATGGTCCTACAATGGCTATGTAGATTTGCTATATAGTTAATTTGGGAAACGCGAGTAAAAAATGATAATCTTCTGAGATACACACACAGGGGTACCCACAGGTAAATACAAATATTACACAGACCCCGTCAAGGCAAGTGGAGAGCATAATTAGGGCTGCCATGTTCTGTAGAGGGTAATTAATACTAAACCTAATGGTAATGACTTAAGTAATCGTTCAGGGAAAGAGGAGAACAGGATGAGCTGAGAGGTCAGAGAACTTCATGAGGAGGCCTGCCGATTAATGATTTGAGTGGGAGAAAGGGATACTTATAAATAAAAATCCTGCTTAATTCCAAACAAGGGCAAAGGGCCCTAAAATAGAAAAAGTTTTAATTAAAAATGCAAGTATTGTACAAAAATCTGAAGCTGTAATAATTAGGGTGGCATAGGTCAGGAGTTAATTAAACTTCATTTTAAGATGCTTCTAACAAGTGTATCATTCTCATTTCTCTCAATCCACTTGCAGTACATTTTAATTATGAATAGATAAAATAAAACAAGATGGCATTCTGCTGAACGAACAAAATACACGTGACATGATTTGAAAATATCACAAATGGTAAATTGATCCATGTTAAAAAGATTTTCAAGGTAAAATGATGCATTATATTTTCCCCAGAAGTATTTCCAAAATGCTAATCCTATAGTTAAAAAAAAAAAAAATGAAGCTGGCATGACCTGAGAACCCCAGCACCTATTCTTTTAGGCAGAACTGTACTTCTAGTTCCCATTCCTAGGATTCTTAGATCAGATTTCACTTCTTTTAGTTTAGTTTATGTAACACAGAATTAAAGATTATTTTATCCTTTTCCTCCCCTCCATCTTCAAATACATCACAAAATAAAAGTTGAATCTTCTTAAATCTTCAAAGAAAAGAGTTTCACGGCAACCCAGCTTGGCCGGTTTTCACTGACTTGCAAGGGGAGGGAGAGATTTACCCAGACAAACAGACAAGGTCCCATTTTTCTGCACAGGGCACCATGTTTTTCAGCATCTCACCCCAGTCCAGGGCTACAGCTGGCTGGCAGGTGTGTTTTGTTTGGCCTGCACATGTTTGGAAACAACTAGTGCAAAACCCATCTCTGCAGCCAAAAGTACATGAAGAACCTGCCGGGGTGAGCAGACCTCCCAGCTGGGTCTCTGTTCCCCACAACTCGTCTCCATCTCTCAGCTCTGTTACCTTCCCAACCCTTGCATTGGATTCCGTTGGCAATCCCAGACTACCAGGCTCCAAAGCTTGAGCTCTTCACCACTCCACTCCCCTGCCTCTACACATCTCACAGCTCCTACAGTCTGGGGAATAAGCCACTGTCGCTACCAGTTTTAGTTAGAAAATGGGACTTCCAGAAATGCGTCAGTCCTGGGAGCTCATAAATCTCCTTGGTAGAATCTGCAATTATAGCCCAATGCATGCAGTTGATTTAGTCTAGAACACTTTTCTTGAACTAGCCAGAAAAAGAAAGGGGGGCTTCCATGAGGAAATGAGAAAATTAAACAAGTCAAAATGGGTTTAAACACTTCCTGGGTACCCAAATGGCTAATACTGACCTGCGAAGAGCCTATGTGAGCCCTGAACTTGAGGAGTTTCAATTCTCATCCATCGCAGATTCATGTAGCTAAGTGACTTTTTTCTGTTGGGTTGTTTCTTGTTAATCACTGAGCCCAGGTCTTTCAGGTTCAGAGAGAAAAAACACATTGTCCTGCAGGTAATATAAGTATGATCAAGAACCACAGATTTGACCCAAAAGTAATCCAAATACAGGATTATGTATTTAACTTAGAATAATCAGCTTTTTGATAATGATCATAATCTTCTTTTGGCTGTGATGAGAGACACCTGAGACTAAAATGCCTGCAAAAACTTCCAATTCACTTCACTGGTTTTTTATCTGATATATATATATATTATGCTTTGCAGTAGTGTTTCTTTAAAATTGAGCTCTTTGAATTAATGTACCACAGGGAATTCTTATGCTGCCATATATTTATCTTCTGAAAGTTGCACATTCATGCAAACAATGTGTCAATCTAAGAAACTATGTTAGGGTGTTTTCAAAATACTTTTTTATATTAATTAAATCTACCTGTGAGTCTCAGGTGTGATTTTTTTAAATCCCATCAAAATAAATTTGATTCATTTGAACAAACTCAAGGTAGAACTATATTCTTTTTCTCCTCTAAGGTACGATTAACCTTTCAAATTTTCTGGGATAAATGAAGTAGCTTGACGTAGGGACGTGCTCTGGACTAGCGAGTAAAAGACCTTGGCCTTGGCTCTGCCCCTGAGGCCTGTGGGACCATGGGTAAAGAACTCACCACCACGGAGGTCCTCATTTGCCTTGCTTGCAAATGAGGAGTTGAATAGGATCACATCTTTGCTTTCTGCCATTTCTGCTTATTTTGAGTAAAAGGAGTTTCTAATGTTATTTCTTCTGAAAGGAATGCTAATGTTCCTGGTTATGGTCTTTACAAAAGATAAATTCAGACTGAATTTGGGGAAGTTAAGAGCACAGGTTCTGAAGCCAGATGGCCTAGGACTGAATCCCAGATCTGTCACATACCAGCTGGCTGATTTGGGCAAGTGGTTGAACCTCTCTGTTCATCCATTTTAGTCTGCAAAGCAGAGTTGACGGTAATATCTACTCATGAAGGTAAGGTGAGAGCTAGTGAAGCAGTACATGTGAAGGGCTTAGAATAGTGACTGACTCATTTTCAAGTGCTCAACAAATGCTAGCTCTTATTCTGCTGAATTTTCAGTAATAAATGAAGTCAAATAAAACAAGTGCCAGAGACCAGTTTCCTGGGGGACTTTCTTAATACAAATGAGCCTCATGACTTGAGGGAGTAAATGTATTCAAAATTGAAATAATTTATAAACATCTCACACGTTGAATCCGCCTTTCTTAAATTCCTACTACCAGATGCTTCTATTTCTCTTTTCTTTGTAAAATTCTGGAAGAATTATTTTTATATTTATCCCCATTTGTACAGGCTTACTAATAAAATCAAGAAAAGCTCATGAGCATCAAAATGCAAGATGTGTAATAATTAGTTTTGTGAACAGAGATGATTCATGCATATATAGAATATGATTCTTGCAGTCAGCTTATTACTGTTTTGAATAACATTCAGGGAATTAATTGGTTCATTATTGATTTACTCTTATTAGCAAGTAGTGATGATAGCATCATAAATAAGCAAGCTATAAATTTAATCAAAGAAGGTGAAGAAATTTGATGTGCATTTGTTTATAAACTAGTAAATTTCATGTAAAGACATCAAATAACATTTCTAGCATGGAAATAAAAGTTCATTATCATATTTAAGGAGAGTTTATCTGAAGTAGAACTCTTATTCACCTTTTTTTACTTCCCCAAATGGAATATTTGGAAATTATATGTGAATCAACACATGATTATGTTAGCCACACTCTGTGAGTAATGAGCAAATCACGGGAAGTTCGTACCACTATAAGCACTTGGGAAAAAACTTGGCAAATAAAAACAGACCCAAGGTATCTCAAACCCTTCCCAACCGCTATACCTTTTCTCCCTTTCAACTCCTCAAAATCAATTCCTTAAACTGTAGTCTGGATCCATATAAGGAATTTAGAAAGGGATTCTCACTGAAGACTCAAATTCTATTACCTTTCTTAGAAACGTTATGGCTCACGTGAAGCCCAGGTGGAGGTGGTGGGGGCTGACAAGGCACTTCCTAGAGGCTAATTACTGGATAGCATGGCCTCAGTGGCCAGAGTGATTAGACTCACAGATCTTTGTTGCAAGCCTGGGCTGAAGTTGTCTCTGAGCAAGGTAATCAGGTCGTCATGTTAGGCTAGCTACACAATGGTCCGGATGAAATCTTCTACTGGGGGCTTTTGGAGATTGTGTCCCAAACCCACAGTATCACCATGGAACTTTATCTTAAGTAAAACTAAACATAGAAATAGAGGAAAGAGAACTCAAAGTCATTAAAACATCAGACACCAGGCTAGGAGGTATATATTTATTTTACTGTACCTTAATTTTGCTTCTAAGAGGGTCACGAAGAGAGAAAGAACATATTCACACCTAGATATCTCTGACTTTGAAATCTATCTCCCCTTCCCACAGCATTTTACTGTACTTCCTTATCTGTCTTAGGCAAACTTTCTCTGTTTCCAAAAATACCCATTTTGTATATTCAGATTCTACCTACTTTTGTAGATTATAGAAAAGGTTGACTGGGAATCAGGCTGGATCTCATCAGAGGACATTGCCTCGGGTGACATTTCCAGGTGGACACAGGGGCATGGAAGGCCACATACTTGCCTCGCTGTAGTCTTCTTGGTCATTGCTGTTCTCTGCAGTTCCTAGGAGAGTACCTGAGGGAATGCTTAATCTATTCATTGAAAGAATATTCTTTTCCTCCAATTCCTTTCCAGGTCTCAGAGGTGCCAAGTTTATCTGCTTTCAAGACCACCAGTGGCACAGTGAATGCTTTAACTGTGGCAAGTGCTCGGTCTCCTTGGTGGGGGAAGGCTTCCTGACCCAGAACAAGGAAATCTTCTGCCGCAAGTGTGGCTCTGGATTGGACACTGACATCTAGAGGGAGGCAGTCTTTCCTCACCTGAAATCCACCTTGCTTGTGTTCTCACTAAATCCAGAATGTGCTTGAAGTAGTATTTCTGATATACATTTTAGCAAATATTAATGTAGAGTTTATAGTAGAAGGATTTTTGCACACATTCTGATTGAACTATATCGTAAGAGCTCAGAAAAAGCACAGTCGAACAGGAATGAATATATCCTAACTCACAAAGGCATCTCTCCTTGCAAAACACTGCACTCTACTGTTAAAAACATAAGAAAATATCTCCTTATGGTAATCAAACACATGACCTATACCTAGAAGTCACGGATATTATTATCGAAGAGTGATGTTTTTCAAAACTGCAGAGTAAAAAAGGAAATTAAGAGATTAAATTGACAGGCACACGTGAAGCTAATGTTTGCATTCCTATCTAGCTAGTGATATATAATATGATAGATTGGCTATTCATGGTAGAAGAACAAAACTGATCAGGGAAAACTGATTAGTAATCATCCTATTTGAGAATTCTGTCACTTTATCATTCTTTTATTCACACATACTGACTTTGGAGTTGCAAAACAAAGCTGCAATTTACCCTCATCTACACTGTTTCCACAGCTGGTTGGTTCCATGTTTAACAAATGGAAACAAGAATTTGGACACTATGGCTCTCATACTCTGCATGGGTATAAAGGGGTCCTCTCTACCTAGGGATAGTCCCAGCCTAGGTTTCAACATATGTTATATTAAATGCATTTTCAAAGCCTACAGTGATTTTTCTAAATACTTACAGATTCCATGAGAGAGAAGTCTCTTCTCTTTCATTCCATGGAAGTGAAGCCTCTTCCTTCAAATCAGCTAACCTTTAAAGGCAAACCTTTAAAGTAAATAGATCATTAAGTCATCACTTGTGGAAATGAGTTTTAGGGAAGGGATTGAGCGATGGAACATGACTTTCATCCAGATATCTAAAGGCATAATAGAATGCATAATTAACTCTGAGCTTCATGCATTTTGCCTTCTAAAATTACACAGATGATTAATGGGAAGACATAAAAGTGGGCTTTAACGAAATCTAGTAATAATAAGAAGTGAGAAAGAATAATTCACTGCTGTTAATTCAGGACCTGCAAAGCAGTACAATACAGCAATGTGGGCTGTAGATGAGCCCTCCCCACTGTTGCTCCATACCTGGGCCACCCACCTCACCCCATGCCAACCATGTCCCAAGAATTCCAATCTCCCGCATGGCCCAGAGGTGCACTTCCAACCCTGAGCAGCCATTTTACAAATAAGTCAGTGTTTATTGGTCACAAGAGAAGTAACAGCCTTTAGTGAAAAGTCTATTACCATATGCGTATCTTTCTATCAAACATCAACTGATGATGGCCCTACCCAGCTGCTCCTGGGCAATATTTTCCACATTATGAGGGACAAATGAAAGGCAACCTCTTTTCTCCATGGCCAGTTATTGTCCTTATTATAGTGTCACTTAGCTGGAGTAGAGGGAGGTCAGGAGAAGAAACACACGCAGACATAACATTTTTAAAGTGTCTACTTCTCAGATTACCGCATAGCAGTAAAGGTTCTGATTGAAATCTAATTATATGATGTAGCTGATTACAATGATTAAAATAGTATCACAGGAGATGCAATTTAAATTGTTATGGGAACACAATTTTTGAGATAGTTCCAAATGCAAGGACGTTTGGAGATGCTAACAATTTAGAACTGGTAGTAAAAGGTCAGGCTACAAAGGCTATTTGAAAGATATTAACTATCTTTTTTTTTTTTTTTGTAGTAACAACTCCAAGATAATTTTTCACATTCACAGTGTAAAATGTATGTAAAACTATCAATATTTTTCCTGCATTGTTTGAAATTGCACATATAGAACTAAATATGCCAATCGTTCTATAATCCAGAACATAATAGTGCATTATACATTTAGAAAACCAAGCCCTTCTAGGTCTGGATAAATATACAATATGTAATATTGTCACAGTTAACCAATTATAGAAAAACAGGCAAAATGTAATGTTTTCTGAGTTAAACAATTAGTGATGTTTAAGCATTTTTCCTTGTGTATGGGGTGAGTATGCACATGATCAGATCATTCTATCTGTACGATTAAAATTCACAATCATTTCTGAAATAGAGATTCTTTTATCCTTTGATACATATACTTAAGTGTATATATTTTCACATATAAATAATTCCATATTTAGAATATAGCTTCATTATCAGATATGTATGTACCGTGCACAGAGTTAGAGTTCAAACTGTTGTGGTTCTGGGGTGGTGGGAGATCAGGGTACAGAAATGCGAGATTGCCACGTACAGAGATCTTCACAGTAGCTGATAAACAGTGCCATGTGGACGTAATACACATATGCAAAACAACGAAGAAAGAAGACCTCATTAGACTGCCATACACACAAAGATACAAGTAAAAAGCCTATGCTGTATCCTATAATTGACTTCGGGTCAGTAAAGAGAAAAGCTCTCTAACTGACCTATCCAAAGATGGAAGATGGAATAGACTGTCTCAGGAAGCAGTGGGCACCCAGTGATTCAAGGAGTGATCTCTGCACAGGCAGGAAAGCAGTTAGAAGCCAATCCTGTGGGCTAATAACAACCAGATGGTTTGGAAGTAGCAGAGAGACTGCCAAAGAGCAAAAAGAAATGACATAGCTAAAAGAGAAAAGGTCAGATGAAGACAGAATATTAACTCTGAGGATAAAAGCTTTATATGTGATATAACAGGCACTAGAAAATTACTAACTGCTCTTAAATAGAGGAGAAAAGCATTACGCCTGTGTTTGAGGAGCATTATGCTAATGAGTCTGTGTGGCCTAGATCTGAAGAGGGCAGGATTTCAAAGGCTAAGTCTCTTAATGCAGTATCACATTTGGTAAGTGGCTACAGAAAAGAAAGAAGGAGCAATGGGTAATGCAGGGCAAGAGCTATCGACGAGAATACAAGTCGACAAATCAAAATATTTTATGTTATCATGTTAGGATCAAATATGACAAAGAAAAATGCAGAAAAGAATTTCTGTCTCCATAATAATAGGTAGGGTACCCAAGGTTTCAATTTTCACTTAACAAGATCATAAACGTGTTATACTGGAACAATCTAGGTTCACTGGTTAAGTGAAGTATGATAGGGTACCATCATGGATTCAAAACTTACACAGTCACTATAACTTTAAAAGAAACATTAAGAAAAAAAGAAACATTAAGTTATACATCGGAATGAAAGATTGGCCAACCACTATGAAAATGCATAACGTTGTCACAAATGGTGTTGGTTAAAAATTGTTGTGAAATATAGAGCCACAAATAAAAAAATCAACCTAAAAACATATATCTGATGTTAGTAACACCATTTCTAAATTTAAGAAAAAAGGTATTTTTTAATCTACTTGGCATATTGATAGTAATTCATATTTTAAATGAGAAAATGATTGTGACAGTATGTTTTAGATACATTTAAGTGAGCACATAAATTGTTCTCAAATACATTTAGATATTTACTATTGTAATAATATAGTTTTTACTTGTTTTACAAATTGTCATCTTCAGAAATCTCTTATGCTGAATAAATTTGCATAGTACAAATTCCTCAAGTTGTTTTTAGAGATTTATTTTTTACATTAACTGTGCCAGTATGGAATAGCTTTGCGGTGTTTCTACTTCTATCACATAAGGTAGTATGATGACTTTTACCTTCTTGTCCCGTCCATTTTTACAGCAATTAACTATATGTTCAGATACCATTTCAGAGTATTAATATAAAAAACAGCATAAGTGAATTCTGTCTGACCCAAATAGTAATGTCTCTCTTGTTAAACTAAGAGAAACACATCTGTGATCTTTCTTACAGTGATCAAATTTTTAAATATTCTAAACTAGGAGTTATTTTATTTCTAATTATCATTTCTGTGATTCTAAAAATATCCTATCAGAAAAGGCCCATTTTAATTTGATTATCCTGTTTTGACTGAGATAGTCTTTAGCTAATTTCTTATTATTTCTGTATTGGAGGAATTGCTGGAATTCTTAGTGATTTTAAAGCTCGTGGGTACACAAAGGATACGAAAATACCGATTCGAAGGGATATAAACACAGGCACCCGATGTTTATAGCAGCATTATCTACAGTAGCCAAATTATGGAAAGAGCCCAAATGTCCATCAACTGATGAATGCGTAAAGAGGTGTGGTATGTGTGTGTATATATATAATGGAATATTACTTGACCATAAAAAAGAATGAATCTTACCATTTGCAAAGACATGGATGGAGCTAGAGAGTATTATGCCAAGTGTAATAAGTCAGTCAGAGAAAGACAAACACCATATGATTTCACTCATACATATGGAATTTAAGAAACAAAACCAATGAACATGGCAGGGGGGGAAGAGAGGCAAACCAAGAAACAGACTCTTAACTATAAAGAACAAACTAAGGGTTACTGGAGGCGGGTGGCCAGGGGGATGGGTTAAATCGGTGATGGCGATTAAGGAGGGCATTTGTGATGAGCACTGGGTGTTGTATGTAAGTGACGAATCACTAAATCCTACATGTGAAGCAAATATTACACTGTATGTTAACTAACTGGAATTTATTTTTTTTTCTTTTTTTTATTCTTATGTTAATCCCCATACATTACATCATTAGTTTTAGATGAAGTGTTCCATGATTCATTGTTTGTGCATAACACCCAGTGCTCCATGCAGAATGTGCCCTCCTCAATACCCACCACCAGGCTAACCCATCCTCCCACCCCCCTCCCCTCTAGAACCCTGTTTGTTTTTCAGAGTCCATCGTCTCTCATGGTTCGCCTACCCCTCCGATTTCCCCCGCTTCATTCTTCCCCTCCTGCTACCTTCTTCTTCTTCTTTTTTTTCTTTCCTAACATATATTGCATTATTTGTTTCAGAGGTAGAGATCTGAGATTCAACAGTCTTGCACAATTCACAGCGCTTACCAGAGCACATACCCTCCCCAGTGTCTATCACCCAGCCACCCCATCCCTCCCACCCCCCACCACTCCAGCAACCCTCAGTTTGTTTCCTGAGATTAAGAATTCCTCATATCAGTGAGATCATATGATACATGTCTTTCTCTGTTTGACTTATTTCACTCAACATAATACCCTCCAGTTCCATCCACGTCATTGCAAATGGCAAGATCTCATTCCTTTTGATGGCTGCATAATATTCCATTGTATATATATACCACATCTTCTTTATCCATTCATCTGTCAATGGACATCTTGGCTCTTTCCACAGTTTGGCTATTGTGGACATTGCTGCTATAAACATCGGGGTGCACGTACCCCTTCGGATCCCTACTTTTGTATCTTTGGGGTAAATACCCAGTAGTGCAATTGCTGGATCATATGGTAGCTCTATTTTCAACTTTTTGAGGAACCTCCATACAGTTTCCCAGAGTGGCTGCACCAGCTTGCATTCCCACATTTTTTGAAAAGAAAAAATCAAGCTCTTGCCTACAGAAAACAGATTGGTGGTTGCCAAAAACAGGGAGTGGGGGAGGGTAGAATTGGTGAATGGAGTCAAAAAGTACAAACTTCCAGTTATAAAATAAGTCGTGGGGATGTCATATACAGCATCATGACTATAGTTAATAATACTGTATTTCATATTTCAACATTGCTAAGAGTAGATCTTAAAAGTCTCATCACAAGAAGAAAAATTGTAAGTAGTATGGTGACTTGTGGGTGATCATTTTGCAATATATACAAATACTGAATCATTAAGTTATACACCTGAAGCTAATATAAGGTTATATGTCAATTATACCTCAAAAGAAATCACAGTGATTTTTAACTCTTATTTATTTTATCTAAAGAAAACTTTGTGTCTGCAACACAAACCGTTAAGAAACTAGCTAATTCACACTATAAGCATTAGTTAGGTTCTCTTCAGAGTTATGTTATAGATTACGAGTTCATTTAACGCCCAAATGTGTCCCACAAAGAAACATTTGGAAAAATATCTCTTACCAAACATTTCTAGTTCATTTTTTAAAATCACATTACTTTGAAATATAATGAAATTTGAATGGGTAACAAAAAACTTTATGTCTTGGAATAGTGTTTCTTCAACAAAAGAGTCAGAATGTCACTAAAAATTATAATTGCTAGGATATTACTTTTATCCTAAACCTCTCCCCCAGGAAGTGTCAGACCTTTTAGATCTCTTTTATTCAACTAGAAACACTTTAAGAGTTAGCTGGGGGTAACTGTAAAGAACTGTAAAGGTCCTACAAAGCAGACCTCTTTTTAGGGACAGGTCGAGAAGATCTATCAAAACTTGAGAAAATATGTCATAAGATAGATTTCACCTTACAGCTTTTCAGAAATTACTGCATCTGGATTTTTTATGACAACATAACAAAGGGACACCAAGGAGCAAGGATACCAATAGTCTTCACTTAATCCACCCAGAGAAATTAGAAATGAGTCCATCCACTGGGACATCTGTATGGCTTCCTAGATGGTACTAAATATGCATCATCCAGAGCGAATTAGAGAAGTTCTTTTTCAGAATTCTGGCCATTCTGAATTTTCCTAAATGACCAGCTTTAGGACCAGCTACCTCATTGAATGTGAAGGTGAGAAAGAGATTTCACAAACTGGGAACCAGAAAGGGAGGAAAAGAAACAAGAGATTCATGCTCAAGTTTGAGTCTATATAAAAGAAATAACAGGATTTGTGTGTATCTGGAATGACTGGATTGTATATCTCTGTGGTTGAAGAGGAAACAGCTCACTGTGATAG